TATCCAATAATCAAGAATACCGATCGATTGGAACAAATTAAAGTTCTTCAAAAACTCTTGGAAGTTGCAAAAACACCCTATCAACAAATTCGTGTATTGATTTCTTTAATACCTGCACAATTTGATTATAATCCCAGCATGAGTAATTATATGAATGTTGATATGTGGAAAAGGTGTGTCCAAAAGATAACAATAATATATATATATATATTTTTTAATAATGGCAAATATTTATTTTTGAATAATTATTTGAATATTAAAAATAGTACACAAAAAGAAATCAATCAATTATTAACAATTCTTGAAGATAATCCACAATTTATGATTCATGAATATATGGAAGAGGATATTGAAGATAAGGAACCAACGATTGAAGAAGGACAAATATTTGGTATACGTGGTTCGATTGTTTCATTCATAGATCGTTTAGATGATGAGTTCACAAAATCATTACAAAATATCGATCCACATACTACTGATTATGTGGATAGATTGAAAGATGAAACAGATTTGTATGACACTATTGTAAGGGGTCAAATATATTTTGAAAAGAATGAATTGGATGAGAGTACAAGTAGAGTTGTTATGAGAAGGTTGGAACACTTATATTATAAGGTAATAAATACAATATCACGATTTATTTATTTATTTGTAGAATTTTTTATTTTTTTTTTCATGAAATTTTTTGATTAACGAATTTTATTTTATGAAATTGAAAAGCCTGAGCAAGTTATACAAACAGTAGAAAACACCGTTCAACAATTATTCCCTGCAGGACTTAATTCAAAAATAACTATATCATCCACATCTAGCAATGATTCATCAGATTTAATTCACGCACTTTGCGTTTATCTTTACAAGAAAGGAGAGTCATTGCTACGTACACGTGCTATGCTTTGTCATATTTATCATCACGCATTACATAATCGCTTTTATGTTGCTCGTGATATGCTCTTGATGTCACATTTGCAAGATAATATTCATCAAAGTGATGTAGGAACCCAAATTTTGCACAATCGCACAATGGTGCAAGTTGGTCTATGTGCCTTTCGAGAAGGGATGATCAAAGAAGCACAAAGTTGTTTACAAGAAATTTGTGGGACGGGTCGTGCAAAAGAATTGCTGGCTCAGGTAATAATAATAATAATAATAATAATAATAATAATAATAATATAAAGTATTATTAATTCAATTTTTTGACATGATAATAATGAGCAATTTTCGTTTTTTTTATTAGGGTTTGCAAATGCAGAGATATTCCCAACTCCCAATGGAGCAAGAAAAATTAGATCGTCAACGTCAATTGCCATTCCATATGCATATTAATTTAGAATTATTGGAATGTGCATATTTAACATGTTCAATGCTTTTAGAAATTCCCAGTATGGCAGCGGCAGGATCAAATCCTGAGGCACGCAAAAAAATTATTAGTAAACCTTTCAGGAGAATGTTAGATTATAATGAAAGACAAGTCTTTAGTGGTAAGTTTTTTTTTATTTTTTTATTTTTATCAATAAAATTCATTATATTTATTTTATATAACATCTATATTTATTATTTAATTTATTTAATTAGGACCACCGGAGAACACTCGAGATCATATTATGGGCGCAGCCAAAGCACTTGCAGCAGGAGAATGGCAAAAATGTCAAGAACTTATAAGCGCGATTAAAATTTGGGATTTGATGCCAGAAACACCAAAAATAAAAGAAATGTTGAATAGAAAGATTCAAGAAGAAGGACTTCGCACATATCTATTCACATATTCGGCATATTATGAAACTTTAGGGCTTGAGCAATTAGCCACAATGTTTTCATTACCGATAAATATAGTAACAGCTATTATTTCTAAAATGATATGGAATGAAGAATTAGTTGCATCATTAGATCAAGTTGATAATGTTGTCGTATTACAACGAGTTGAGCCGACAAAGGTTCAGCAGTTGGCTTTAATGTTTGCTGAAAAGGCAGCAACATTCGTAGAAGCTAACGAAAGATCTTTGGAATTGAAACAAGCAGCGGGACAAAATCAAAGAGACCAACAAAGGCAAAAAGGTTAATAATTAATTTATTAATGAATTAATTTATTTATTTATTTATATTATAATTGTTTTTTTTTTTTTTTTTGAAAATTTAACAGGACAAGCCAATCATCAACAACAAAACATTGAAAAACGAACGACTTATCAAAAGAGAGATGGACAACAACAACGATCTCGAAATAATTTTAATAATGTTTTGGGTAATAGTGTGCGAGGAAGGGCACAACAAAATCGATATAGGTCATAAACATATATACTGTGTAAACGTTATTGTTATGTGAGTAAAGAATATATATAAATTAACATTTGTATTATCAACTGGAATCAATTGGAAACAAATTTTTGAATCGTTTTTTTTTTTTTCCTTAAATTTATGCAATAAACAATTTCGAAAAATATAAATGTATAATACATGGAAAATTTAACGTTAAGGGTTGGGAACCGTTTAACCGAAAAAAAAAAAAAAAATTATAGTTCAGGGCAGAATTATGATGATATCATTGGCCAGAATTGTATTTATATTGCTTAATTAATTTGTATTCATATTGATATTGCTTAATTAAATTGTATTCATATTGCTTAATTAAATTGTATTCATATTGATTAATTAAGCGGTTAAAACAATTAACTGTTAACGGGTAAGAAAATTTTAAGGCAATTCCCAATCCCTAAAAAATAATATTGCAATATTGCGTAAAGGTAGTTAAAAGATGTGTAAATTATAATAAATTTAATTAAAATTTCAACAATAAAAATAAACATGGTAATTGTTCAACGTTTGATCGGCTATTTTGAAAAAAAAAAATGTCACGTTTTTTTCATTAACCAGGTAATAGAAAGGGTAACCTTGTTAAGCTTTAAAAGTTAGCACAAAAATAGTATAAAATAATTAGGTAATTGATCATAATTTTTTTTTTTTGTTTTTTTACCGATAGTTAATTATATAAAATTGGGAATATTTATAATGAAAACATTGTTATCATAGTGATAGTATATATTAACAAAAAAACATTTGATCATATCCTTTTGGTAGCCAGTAATAGAAATGATGAAACCATGAGATTTGTTGGT